AGGAATTGTAGAAGTATGCCCTGAAAACAGCTCGACACTTAATTCTTATTATATGCCTCACCATCCTGTAATTAGAGACGACAAAACAACAACAAAGGTACGCATCGTTTACGATGCTTCTTCAAAATCAAATAATGCTCTTTCTCTCAATGACTGTCTTCACCCAGGGCCAAATCTAAATCCAAATGTTTTGGACGTTATTTTGAAATTCCGCGAAAATAGGATCGCCTTTTCGGCAGATATCGAAAAGGCATTCCTTCAAATATCAATCGCAGAAGAAGACAGAGATTATCTGAGATTTCTTTATTTTAAAAACCTTGATAGAAAAGAGAGTGTAATTTCTTACAAAATGACAAGAGCAACCTTTGGTGTAACTTGTAGTCCTTTCATCCTTGCCTGCACAATAAAACATCACATTGATAAGTACAAGAATTCTAACTTTAAGACTTTTGAAATGCTTAACTCAAATCTTTACGTGGATGACCTATTTTCTGGAGCGACAACTGTTGAAGAAGCGCTTAATCTATCAAATGAATCTGTTAAAATTCTTGCTGAAGGAGGTCTAAATCTAAGAAAATTCGAAACCAATTCCCTAGAGCTTAAGCAGAAATGGCTTGAGGAAAAGTTAATCTCTCTCAATAGTGAAAAAGGTACTAGGTTTAATATGGAACAATGATGAAGATGTCTTAGGACTAGAATTAACACCCTTACTGTCCTCTATAAACACTGACTGTACCAAACGTAATGTATTAAAAATAGCAGCCAAAATTTTTGACCCATCTGGATTTATCGCACCCTTTGTAATTCGAATTAAATGTTTATTGCAACAGCTATGGCTTCAAGGGGTACCTTGGGATGAGGTCTTTTCTGGAGAACTTGAAAATGACTGGAAAATATGGCTCTCTGAAATAAAAGAACTTAAAATGTTGAAAATTCCCAGATATTATTTTCATGTACCAAATTTAGACAGGGACACTGTTCAGTTACACATTTTTAGTGACGCTAATCCGAATGCGTATGGCTCAGTCGCATACTTGAGATATAGAACTGATGAAGATAAATTTGAAACTACATTTTTTTTTGGCAAAATCACGTGTTGCACCATTAAAGAAATTAACGCTTCCCCGCCTTGAATTGATGGGAGCACTGGTGGGTGCTAGGGTTGCCAACTACCTGAAAAATATTCTACATATTTCAAATGTCATTTTATGGTCAGATTCGGAAATAGTTCTACATTGGATTAAAAGTACAGCTAAAAGATGGAAACCTTTCATTGCTAATAGAATTTCAGAAATACATGAAATTTCAGATCCTTGTTCATGGAGACATTGCGAAGGAAAACTCAACCCTGCAGATCTAATAACAAAAGGTTGTTCTGCAAAAGAACTGATAAATTCTTCGAAATGGTGGCATGGCCCTGCATTTCTTTCGTTACCTGAAAGTCAATGGCCAAAACCCAAACTATCAACGTCAAAATTACATGATGTATCAGAAGAATCTCGAAAATCGGAAGCTATCCTAGCGTGTTTGATCAAAACAGACAAAACTGAAAAAGTTCCACTCATGAATTTGACAAAATTTAGTTCCTTGAAAAAACTTTATCGTGTGACTGCTTGGATTTTCAGATTTATATCAAATTTAAAGGTAAAAAGGGAAAATAGAAATTTTGTGGAAATTTCAGTGAAAGAAATCAGTAAATCTGAAACCTTTTGGTTAAAACAAGCTCAAGAAGATAGTTTCCCTGAAGTTATAGAGTCCCTAAGAGAAAACAAGCATATTACAAAGGATTCAAAATTGTTTGAATTAAATCCCATATTATCAGATGAAAGTCTACTTTTGGTACGAGGTCGGTTACAAAACTCAAACCTACTATTTAACAACACACATCCAATAGTAATCCCTTCAAAACATAAATTAAGTGAATTAGTAGTACGAGACGCTCATGAAAAGGTTTATCATGCGGGAGTATCGGATACTCTAGTGCATAACGTGAAAAATTCTGGCTCTTAAGAGGAAAACAATATGTCAAATCAATCCTGAGTAAATGCATAATATGCAAAAAATATAATGTACGTCCTGGACAACAAGTGCACCTCTTCCAGCGGATAGAGTTAATGAATCTCCGCCTTTCGCAATTTGTGGACTCGATTTTGCAGGTCCTTTGTATGTAAAAGAAAATGACAACAAATACTACATTTTATTGTTTACTTGCGCCACTACAAGAGCTATTCACCTGGAGCTCGTAAAAGGCATGAGCACTGAAGAATTTTTACTTGCGTTCCGCAGGTTCGTATCCCGAAGAGGTCTGTGTTCCACTGTGTACTCGGACAATGCTAGAACATTTAAAAGAGCCGAACTTGAATTAAAGCAAATGTGGAAAGTGATTAACCACCCTGAAGTTAAAAAATTTTATGCTTCGCATGGAATCGCATGGAAATACATTGTGGAACGTGCTGCCTGGTGGGGCGGTTTTTATGAACGTTTAGTTCGCAGTGTAAAAACTAGTTTAAGAAAGAACATTGGGAAATCATCTTTGACTCAAAGTGAATTAGAAACGCTTTTGCTTGAAATAGAAGCGATGATAAACTCGCGTCCATTAACATATGTCTATTCTGATCTTGAAGAGCCCTCCGCACTTACTCCAGCCCACCTGTTGATTGGTAAACGACTCTTGAGTTTGCCAGCTGTAAGGAGAAATGACTTGAATTTACCAGGTTCCACAGAAGGAATTTTAAAACGTTCCCGTACACGAGAAAATCTAATAAATCACTTTTGGAACAGATGGAAAAAAGAATATCTCCTGTGCTTGAGATCTGCTTATTATACCGTTCAGAAGAAACCATCTGCATTCAACGTAAATGATATAGTGCTTCTTCATGATGAAAACTTACCTAGACGCTGGTGGAAATTAGGAAGAATAACCAAAACCTTTATTGGTAGAGATGGAACGATCAGATCGTGTGAAGTGAAAACTGGTAATTCGGTAATCAAACGTCCAGTGCAGCTATTGTACAATTTAGAAATTGATGATATCAGTAATTGCAATAATCAGTGACTGGTCAAAAAATAGACTGAATGACTGATAAACTGATGATAGACAAAAAAAATATTCTTTTTTCATGTTTCTTATTTTCATTTATTCATTTTATTATTTCCCTTGGTTTAAGGATTTGTGGTGATCATGAGAAATGTTAATTTAAATGTTTTTTTTTCTATATAGTTTGAGAAAAAATTTTCTTGGTATTAAGAAATTATTGATATAATGTGACCTGTATATGTAAGTAATTTTTATTTGTTTCTTATATGTTATAGTAATATTGTAGAGGTTAGTTAAATTTGTGATGAACCTATTGTTCATCGGGGGCGAGTTTGTTGAAATTATTTCTTTTCCCTCCGATGGAGCCAATTCGTCTTTTATTATTTATCGTCTGTCGCCGATTAGGTCACGTGACTGACAGCAGAGAAAGAATGTAACAACTCGTGAAAAATAGAATCGTGAATTCGTGATCATAACGTACAAGTTTTATACAGGCTGTTTCCAAATGTTATTTATAACAGTGCTGGGATGGTAGCAACAGAGTATCACACGAGATATTTTACAAAACCTAAATAAGAATAAATTTTCCTTCATTGTCATTGTGCGTGATTCGGTATGCAAATAAACTGTGTGTTAGAGCATCTAGAACGAAACATTAATCGTTGTTTCCCGATGTTATTCATAACAGTATTGTGATCTTAGCAACAGTGTTGAATGAGATATTTTAGAAGATATGAACCAGAAGCAAATTTCGTTGTTATAAATCAGGTTTCTTAAACTGTGGGTTGCGATCCCCAAGGGGTCGTCGGGCCAGCAGAGGGTCGCCAAAAATTTTAGCAGTTTTGATATTTCTTTAACTTATCATAATTATTTTACAATTACCAAATATTTTTATCCAGTGTATCTGAAAATAAATAAAGATGAGACAATATAGACAAAGAAAAAAAAAAAAAAAAAAAAAAAAAAAAAAACGTTTTGACGCATTCTTTTTATACTATAAACGTTCATTTTCCTTGCTTTGCACGTGACATTGTCATTTCATCTCTTACTTATTTAAAATTTTCACATTGTTCTATGTCTTAAAATTAGAAATTACAGTTAATGACCTAAAACTGCAATAGTATATTATAGTACAAGTGAAAAAATTGACAGTTTCACTCACGCTTGTGTCGGATTTGCGCAATATTTATGGAAACCCACAAAATTTTTGTAATTATTATGGGGTTCTGGGGGTCGCGAAAAATTTTCAGTGGTAAAAAGGGGTCGCGACAGAAAAAAGTTTAAGAAACCCTGCTATAAATGATTGATATTTTGCCCCATGTGCATTTAAATCAGGAGGGGGGGGGAGAAATTAGTATTAAGAAATCTGAAAGGGTTCAGATTTTAAAAATCGGTCGATGGGATTTGTTAATGTTTATTACTCTCTCGCTGAATTCGCAGGTTACCAATCTGCTATTACATTCATTCTTGCTAACGCATTTCTTTTTGTTCTATAGCTTTATTATTAAGGACCATTTTCATCGCACTTAACGCAGTATGCAATTCAGCAGAAAAATTACAAAAATTTTAAAAGCAGCATATATTTAGAATATCCTATGCAGTGTTAAGTGTTGGCACACTTCTTACTATTTTTTCCGTCTTTACTCAGTTCATCGTATCGATGTTCAGTTTTCTTAGAAAGAAGATCTGCATTTTTTTCTTTTGTCTTCTCATTATTAACGTTTTAGAAATTAACTTTATTTATTAAATATCATTCTTCGCACTTACACCCCATAAAATTAAATTTCAAAATAGTTAAAATCACGAAATAGTTAAAATTGCATATCTAAAATTTCTATCTTAAAACTGCATATTAAAGAATTAATATATCTAAATTAATGTTAGTATCATTCTCATAGAAATAAATTAATTTTTCCAAAGTCCCTTAAATTCAATAGAATATGAAAACATGAATGCAACTAAATATAAATGTTACGCCGTTCCATTTTTTATTCTAGTAAATTCTTCTAACATGAAAAGATAATCGCATCAGTCCTAGGTTATCTGGAAAAATCAACTCTTTTTCAGTTATGTTCAGTCACACCCACTTTGAGAGGGCACACGCCATTGCTTTCACACCAGTCCATGTTTCCACAACAGTCGGCAATATCTGCTTCCTAGACAGTAGAAAACCAAAATCTCCCTTGTCTCTTACTTCTACCACGTAACTATACTTTGCTCCCAGAGTGCCATACACCCAGTCTCTTGCACCGCCACTGACTGTATCTGAAAGAAAAACAAAAATTTGCGCAAGAAAATTACAGTTATGACGCAAGTAAAATTATGTAAATCAAATGCTCAATAAAATTACTGTAATTTTTCTTAATCTGTGACCTGAATCTCAATTGTGATTAGATGTTGCATTTTCATTGGTTTCATTAAGAGACTGTTGTAATGAAAGCTGGCCTGAAAAGCGATTTTCAAGATGATTAGCTTAACAGTCAAATACTGGGAAACTGTTTACAGTAACCCAGGAGAAAGAATTAAAAGACTGCGATGAATCCTGTATAGGGGTATGAATGATTTTAACCTGAAGTATACAATTTATGTACCGGCGATGGCCAATTTACTATGCAGGTACACCCGCAAAAAAAGGTACAGTTACACTCACGCGTGTGTCGGATCTTCCGTTCTATTCGGCTGATAGACGAAATTTAATTTGCATTTTTCATGTCTCGAAAGCGCGATTTAGCATATATATTAGATTTATATAAAGCATTGTTCTAACATAGTTATTTTAACAAAAAATCGGACTTTTTCTGAAATGATATACCAGTTTTATCCATATTTCGATTCATATGCCCAGATATTAAATTTTATAAATTTTGGTGAGAAACTTATCTTTACGTAATTCTGAATTTATATTAGCCTATTTTCCTTTTCTTTTTTTTCCACTGTGCACGAGCGGAACATTCTTTCAAGCAATTTTAACAAAGTGCGTAAAGCATATTTGGCGCTATCTCTTATGACAAACTTCAAAACGGGCCAATGTATAAATTCACGTATATCTTTGAAAACTTTGAATCAAAATTTCTGATTTTTTGCAGGTATGCATTATATCTACTTTAAGGTGATGATAAAAATTTCATAGGCCTTTAATTTTTTTTAAATTTATAAAAATTGCTAAAAAATACAAATTTTAAAAGTAATCAGAAAATAGCTGTCAATTTTACATGGATTGTACTTAAATTTCGAATTGTGAAGAAGGAATGAAGTAAGTTTAATTTAAAAAAAAAGGCTATATTAATGAATGTATACCAAATTCATTGAAGATTGAGGAGCTAAAATTTTGAGAGCTAATTTTTTAAAAACCACTCGTGCGATTTTTACAAAAACTTGGGACTCTGGCATAATTTGAGTCGTATAATCGAAATATAGAAAAATGTCGGTATGTAATTTCCGAAAAAGTAGGATTTTGTGTCAGAATACCTATGTTAGAACAATACTATATATAAATCTGTTTCAAAATAGAGAAGTAACCTCACAAACAAAAGTATCTAGTAGAGTTACATAGTGCTATTTAGCGATGGGGTGGGTAGGCTGCCAAATTATCAAGAACGTCCATCTTCGGGGAAACACTGTATTAAACAATACAGGAGGACAAGGAATTTGCCAATGAAATGCGTGTTTAATTTAAGCATTCCAGTCGGCAAACATCGTCATTGCCCTTCTCTACTTCACTGAGAGTTCCTCAGTTATTATTTAACATAATATTACCGTAATGTTGTGTAATTAGTTAATACCTGATATACATAGCTATACTATGACATTGTATTCAAAGAACCGAAATAAAACTCAAAGGAACATCTCTAAGGAAGCGAAAAGGGCAATAATCAAGATTCCGCAGGAGCCAGATTTGCGGCTGTAGCAGGAGCGATGAAAAGTGCGAATAATGAAGACTCCGTAAGAATTAGCCAGATGGAAAAGGAAAACTTCCTCTATTTACAAACATGGGTGGTCAGTTTCGCTGAGATGCATCGTTTTATTTAATGTTTTGTTTTTTGAATGCTGTATGAAACATCAGAATACCAAAAGCTCACACACACATGTGGGAATCATCAGCGCCCGATGCTGAATTAGAATTGCCAGTAATGACGTCATCAGCATCGCTCAGCGAGAATCATTCCAGACAGCGAGAGATAGCCGGCAGACGTAGAGGTAAGCTGACGGCTCACTCGTCTTCAAGAGTTTATGAATTTAGATTCTTTTGCTGTTATGCCTTTAGCTGTGATGACTCTAGATCATCACACTATTTAAAGCTACGCACGAATGTTTGTGTAAAGGACTGTCTATGCATCATTATATTAATCCTGCATACCGTTAACTTCATCTTTACTTAATTTATTTTTTCTTATTTTTATTTCTTATCGTTAAATAAAAGCATATTTAAAAAATAATACGTCGAAATCTGATTTAAAAGAGAATTCTACATACACACACACACACACACACACATATATATATATATATATATATATTATACACACACACACACATATATATACACATATATATATATATATATACCCATATATATATATATACATATATATACATATATACATATACATATATATACATATACACTGGTGTGCAAAAATTAAGGACGAGACGGTTTTTTCAATATAACTTTGTACAAAAGCTTTCCAAATCAACACATTTAATACCGTAAGATCCCCAATACGTAAGGACATGAGTAATGTAAACAACACTTACTAAAAGAGAAATCAGAGGGATAAAAAGAAGCTTTATTGAAAAAGTAGCATGGAGCGCAATGCGACTGAAGGCCGAAACATCCCTGTGATGGGTGTCCATCAAGAAACATCCGGTCTTTAATAGGGGATATGATCTCCCTTGACTGCTAGGCAGGTTTCTCAGCGTTTGCCCATGCTGAGAATGAGGGTGTCAAAGAGTTGTTGAGGCATTGCTGCCCATTCGTCTTGCAGCACCAATCGAAGCTCCGGAATTGTTACTGGTGGTAAGGTACGAGCTGCCAAGCGTCTGCCTAGAAAATCCCATACATGTTCGATGGGATTGAGATCCGGAGATCGTGCCGGCCAATCCATACGTTCAATATCCTCACTCTCTAAGAGCTGTTCGGCAGCTACTGTGCGCTGACATGGTGCACTGTCGTCCATGAAAAGGAACTGCGGACCCATAGCGCCTCTAAAAAGATGCACATATGGAAGAAGAATCTCGTTACAATAACGGGTCCTGTTGACTGAACCTGCGTCGAAGATGTGAAGGTCTGTACGACTACCAAGCATGATGCCTCCCCAAACGAGAACACCGCCACCTCCATACCTGTCCCTTTCAATGATGTTCGAGGGATGATTGCGGCTTCCCCGCTCTCTCCAGATGAGTATGCGATGAGAATCGCTACTCAGACTGAATCTGCTCTCATCTGTAAAGAGTACTCGTCCCCATTCATTGTCTCTCCATTTCCGGTGTTCCCGGCACCACAGAGAACGCCTTCTCCGATGGGCAGGCGTTAGAGGTACACACCGCACAGGGCGTAGTACAAACAGACCACCACCTTGCAGTCTTCTGGCCACGGTAAAACGCGATATCGGTCGTCCAGTCGCCTGTGTCGTGTGTCTAGCGATTTCTACCGCTGTCTGCCGCCTGTTTCTTCTGGCCTGTAAGGCAATATACCGGTCATCTGCGGGTGTGGTTCCTCGTGGACGACCACTACTAAACCCCAGGATAGCTGTTCCTGTAGTTTGAAATTGTCTCCAAAGTCGTGAAACGATGCTGTGAGCAATTCCGAACTCTGCAGCTACACTTGTCACACTGCGGCCTTCCTCCAACTTCCCAATGATTCGACCTTGGGTAAAAGCATCCAGATGTCGTCTAACAGATTGATTATTCGCCATTTCTCGCTGAAGCAGCAACTCGGTGTGATTTTAACTGCTATACGGCGTGCAATCTCTTTGCCAGAAATGCTGATCTTACACCGACAACATGCTTTATACTACTCAGACACTCCCCCATTACGTCTACCTGCATATCTGCGCATGTGCTACCGTACATCACCTTACTTAATCTCCTGATTGGTCTTTCTGTCCTCTCTGCCTCTTCGTTCAGCTGATATGCTATTTTTTGCACACCTTTTTGCACCTTAATTTTTGCACACCAGTGTATATACGAGGGTTGGGGCAAAAGTCATGGCAACTATTTTTTTCTTGTCCATTCGTGAACGGATCACAAAACATATATGTGTCATGTGGAAGTTCTGCAGGCATAGTGTGTATGCAGAACAACAGATGGCTCTGTGGTGAGCTCTGAAATCTGTCAGTTGGTGAGTGTTGTGCGAGATGGAAATAACCAGTGTTGAGCAGCGCGCTTACATCAAAATAGCCATGGCATTTATGGGACAAATGCGTTGGAATGTCACAGTGAATTAGTAGAAGCCCTTGGGAATAATGCCCTACCATATCGTACAGTAGCACGGTGGGTAAGAAAGTTTCAGAAAGGACGTGCGTCAACCAGTGATGAGCAACATTCCGGACGACCGGTGAGTGTGGCGTTATCGAGCACCTCATGGATAAAGACAGACAATGGACGTTACTGGAGTTAGAGAGGTCAAGTGGCATCGAGTAACGCACCGTCCACAGGATATTGCGTAACGAGCTACAGCTACGCAAAATCGCTTCGCGATGGGTACTGCATGCACTGACGGAAGTTCAAAGGTGGGTGTGCTATGCAATATGCTCCGACCACTTTGCACGCTGGCAACAGGACGGCGATTAATTCTTGTCACGAATAATCGCCATCGATGAATTTTGGGCCAGGGCATATAAACCAAAACTGAAATGTCAATCCGCAGAGTGGCGACATCTTGGATCACCAAGGCAGCAGAAGGTCCGTCAGAATCCTTTCCCGGTTAAATTGATGGTGATCGTCGCGTATGACGTCAGGGGTGTCATTGTTTGCCACTTTGTTCCTCATGGCAGAACAGTGACCGCACGGTACTACATTGACTCATGTCAACTTTATGTGTATTGTGTTATCATTCTTTTGCACGGTGAAGGCCATATTGCCCTGTATACTACCGTAATAAATTCACGTGTTACGATATTTCAGTGCTATTCATTGTCCACACATGTACTTAAGACCTTGTCCTTTCATCTGTATATGTCACATTTTCTAACCGGTATCTTCAAGAAAAAAAAAATAGTTGCCATGACTTTTGCCCGAACCGACGTATATATATATATATATATACATAACACACATAGAAAACAGGTCAGAGGCTTTCGGTAAATAATAAAGGAAAGAATGCTAGTGTCAGAGTAATCAAATTTTTCGTTAGGCTTCTCAACAGCAGCTCTCGGTGAACTGTTAAAGATTTACCGTTCCGTTTTCGCCGAAACGCTGATCAATCGTTCAGTAAAATGGATCGATTCTGAAGCAGATTATCCACCTCTACAGTGAAGCGTTATGTAATAGGTTATATCGAATGTTGATCTATCTTTTGCTCTGCAACTTCCCTTCTAATAAAGCGTATGCAAATAAGTACGAATCGTCATGGATGACTGTTGGGTACCAAACTTTGGGACTGCTAGACGAATGCAAGGAATTTTCTCTTTCTTTAGCATGTGCCTTCATGTTGTAATTCGAAGCACGTTCGGTTAGCAATTGAAAGGTCCTGATTTCGAATCACAGAGAGGGCAACCCTCGTTTTTCTTGCTTCGAAAACCTAATAGATTCTACACTTTAGTAATCTTATTTAATCAATACATCCTTAGAGACATGAATCTTGTATTACTAATTAATTAAACTAAAATAAAAATTCAGATATTTTCAAAATATAACTAATATTTGATAACTATATTAATTTTTAAAAATGGATATCGAAAAATAAATAAATAAAATATACTTACATAAGATACTACCAGAAGAACCCACAGTATATTTTGTACCGTATACTGTTTCCAATGCTTTAGTAGCAACTTCAGCTAATAGCTTCTGTAGGAATAAAAGGAAAATGTTTTCAATCGTTATCGAAACAAATCTCGGTAATGTGTCGTATTTAGCACAGATAATACATATAAACTTAGAAAATATAATAAATTCAATTTTTCTTGCTTTTAAATTAAATTATTTCTAGGCATGTAAGTAAGCTAATTCAAAGTGCTCAATTTCTTTCTTTTTTTTTTTTTTTTAACTAGGCATAAATGATACTTGCATAATATGCATAATATTTTAATTGCTCCTCTGCAGAGTATACGAAAGTAATTTTATTTATGTTTTAAGTTCATGCCATTAAAAATGGTTGTCTGCTAAACTACACTGAAAAATGCAACTTCACAGACTAAAATAACTCCATCAAAGTTTCGTTTAGTAGATTATGGCAAAGCACACTACGGCTATCTAGGCTAAGGGAAGGGATGCCTTCGTAGAGGACATTCTGAGGAAAACTGGCTCGCATACACTTTACACATGGGGAAAAACACGAAAACACCCAGCCCCTTCGCATGAAATCTGACTCAGATCGTAACTAGCAGTGTTCAGTGATTTTATCGCTCGGCCGCTGGTAGACAATTTCATCAAAGAATAACTGTATCTTAAATTAAATTGAAATTGCAGCACTTCTACATGAAGAGCAATAAGTGGAAAATTTGTTGCCATGATGTCCTTCTTTTAAGAACACTTTGAGAATAGATTTTAAGATTTCAGGAAACAGAATTGTATGTCATTATTTCTACTATTTCTATTCTCAGGTGGCATTATACGTACTTGCGAAGTCGCAGCTGTAAGCAAGCGCAATAGTTATACAAATTACTTGTGATGATTTATATAGAGGGAGATTCAAAACGAATATAGCGATTATAAAAGGCTATAACTATTTAATTGAAAAAAAAATTTATCGATAAGAATTATACAGAATGTAGATATGTAGAAGGAAGTAAAAAATTTTGTTTACATACTTTAGAAATGTTCTATAGGATTCTTTTTGGTAACATGGACAACATCTAAGCGGTAGTCTATTTCAAGACACATTCTGAACCTCACCTCCCGTCACCAACGCAACCATTTTGAGTGCTGGATTGTTTTCGGCAAAGGAAGCACATGCACAACACACTTGTCACTCTGCGATTTCTTTCTGTGGGTTTATGTAAAAGATCTTGTATATGTGTGACCTTGTGTTCATTATTGGAACATACCGCCAGAGGTTTTGAAAAATAAAATAGACTAATGTTTTAATCACTGACATCAAGAAGGTACTCATCTTTTTTCATCACTGTTTTCTCAGTTTGATGCACATCATGATACTTCTTAAATATTCTAAAATAAATGCTTTACTATTAAGGTTATTATTACTGACTTTATAAAGAGCTGGAAATTTATGTTTTACAACTCTAATTATGTAATATAAAAAATTAATGTACTTCGAAAATCCAAAATTTTCATTTATGACAGCTAGTATGCATTCCAGCTGAAAGTGCCTTTATTTAGACGATCTGAACCCCAAAATTAAAAATTTTTTTAAATAGTAAAATTCGTGTTATTACGAAATGATCTGATATCAATTCGTTTTGAGCTGTATAAATTTTCCGATACAAAACCCAATCTGTTTAATGTCTCAGAATATTTTTACTCACCTGCTCTCGGTAATTTGGCGGCAACTTTGTAGTGTACCCCCATGGCGTCATCCACCTCTGCGAGTAACTGTGGATGTCAATGAATAGCTCAAGTCGACCCTTGAGGTTGTCCAACATGAATTCCGCGATAGCTCTTGTCTCAGGTTCCGAAAAAGGTTCAGGTCCAGCATAGTTGTGGGAACACGGATTGGTACTGGATCCCGCTGCATCTGTTTTGAACCAAAAATATTATCATATTTAGTATATCCAACACAAAACGAAAGTTTGATATAATTTATAAATGGATTTAAAAAGGTCTTGTGTGGCTTCTACATGTCACTCCTATTACAAAAACTACGATATTGTATTGTTATGAATTTTGTATAATGCAACAGGAACGGCCTTGAGAAAGCAAAGCTTTGCCAGAAAAATAAGATTACAAGGGCAAGTCTTTTTGAACATTGAGGTAAATGGCTATCTCGCTAAACTGGCGAGACATCGTCAAGCTGGTGATGGTTCTGGCGACAAATTTTTGTCGTGAAAAGTCACCAAACTTTTCGCGAATTTTGCCGACGATTTTGGCAACATTTTGCTTCGGTCCATGTATAACTGTAATTGGTAATATGACTGAATAAATGAAACTAACCTATATATGTAACTGTAACCGTATCTGGCCTTTATAAGCCTTCCAATAATTTCGAGAAGTGGAAGGCACTAGAGACCTCTCGACGGCCGGAAGAAAACTATATAAGATAGGAGAGAGCATCAGTTTCTCAATTCAGAGTCGACTAAGGGGCGTTGAGATGTCTTGATGTGAATTTAGCTCTTTAGATGCGTTTGCATTGCACCGTGTTTAACGTTCTTAATAGCTTGAGGTGTAACTACTGATTGTGAGATACTGAGAAGAACTTAAAAGTATTTTTGTGCAAGGTTCCAGAACTGTAAAGCTCTCCTTTTGGTAAAATACGAGTAAATTTTATTAAGCTATCATCGGTTCTGTGTGCATTCAGTCTATTACGAATCCGTACGCACGCATCAATATTGTTACGAAATAACCAGCTGCGCTAAGACAGCTTCTCCACAAAGGGGCCTGAGGTTGCCAGAAAGTGACAAAGAACAGCAGGGTTGCCAGATTTGGCGAGAAATCGCTTATTTGGTGACAAAGTTGGCAATATCGCCTAGACCAAGCGAGAACATTCTAGAACAATTCTTACCGGTTTTTCATTCCCGAGAATGTTCTCGAAGGCAGATCAAAAACTATAAATTCCCTGCCTGTACGCGGAGTAGCAGTTTATCATGAAGAGTATCTTGAGTGTGTTGAGTTCAGTCGTAGTGCTTTGAGTTCAGAGATTAACTGGAGAGCGATCTACCAGTCGGGAGCTGTACTTTAGTGCTTTGCCGTGAAGCTTGTCTTCACCGTTATACCCTGATAGCCTGAAGGCTGTGTTGCTAATTGTTTCAGCGTGTTTATCGTAGTTTTTCAACGATTGTAACGCGTCTTTTGGAATTTCCTGTGTAATACTGACGAAAAAATTGTGTTTTGATTCTTCGTCAACTGTTGCCGTCAATCACTCCAAATCTACGAATCCGTAGAATGCAACACTATTATATTTACAACACACACACACACGTATGTGTTGTAATTGTGTCATATAAACTACAGTGCTGCTTTTCTTCTTTAAAGTATCTGTTTAAGTTCTAATCGTCAATTTTGATGAAATTTTCCAAATATTTCTTATTACTTTATTTTGAAGCTTAGAGTTTTAGCTTCCCCAAACTACTTTTGTTTGGTCTCTCCGGTGAGAAAGAAAGTTGTGGTTGTTCTTGTTCTACATCGTGAACCGGAAGTTGTTAAAAAAGGCAGGAAGCTCATTTTGAAGGGGGCACAAACTATTCTAAATACTTTTAAACTGGGAATTTTTCATTTCATCGCTTTCTGTGATGTTGAAAAGAGGTTTTTAATACTTTCTATTTATTATTAAGTGTTTGGGAACAAGATTAGCTTCTCAACTTCAGTTTCGCATTTAACAACATTTTCATTTCATTCTGTTTGTGTTTACGTAAACGTACTTTTTAAAAAATTTTATTTTTAGTTTTTGTTACAAATTTGCATAATTAAAAATATTACTATAGTAAATTTATGAAACTTTCGAAAAATATTCTATACAATATTGTGAATTAAAAGGAGTAAAAGCTTAGATTTGTGTACATATTTAAAATTTTGTTATTTAAAAATCTGTGAATGAAAAGAGCAAAATTTCTCGAAAATAGCTGGTGTATGCACACAAGCAGTTATACTTGATGGGCATTTTATTTTGTCCCTTAAATTTTAGCCCATTTAATTCCTTATACCTTAATAAATGTAAAAGAAAAAATAAAATTTAAATATTGTTCAATATTTTTGTGGGATTATGTTTAGTAATCCTGAAATTTTAACATATTTGTAAAGCAAAATGCAAGTAAAAATTTTGCTTTAATATTTTATCACCTATTGCCATTTTAAGTAGTATTCTACTAAAAAAACACTAATAATAGATTAATTTTACTTTTTTTCAAAACGTGGGAGTCGAACGTAGTCCAATACCTTATAAACTAATTAGTTAATTAACTCTGTAGTTCTATGCAGGGATTCCCAGTTTTCAAAAGAAGTTTTTGTTGCATCTGCAAAACACGCTGATGGCATCATTTGCGCATCAGACTAAGCATAATAAAACAATTTAACAAAACTGTAGATACAGAATCAGTTACTTTAGAGCTCCATGACTTATCAAACATCAAGGAACGATGCTTTCATCGTTCGCCCGATATCAGATAAAGAAGGTCATTGAGTGAAAAGAATTCCACAGAGCCTAACTACTGAAAAAGGTTTGGGAACAAACACCCCTTTTTTTACTCCTGCAAATTGAAACTTATTTTTTTCCGCAATTTTCTATGCAATCACAGAACAAAGATCACGTGAATCGTATCGAAAAATAAAACGAAGTGATTTGGAGAATAAACGTACACTCTGTACACATACACAAATAAAAATAAAATAAAATAAAGTTAGACAGTTCTATAACTTTCGTTCTACTGAACTAACTGAGGAATTTAATTTGTGATTTTCATGTTTTGAAAGCGCGAAACTTAAGATATATATTAGCTGTATATATAGCTTTGTTCTAACGTATGTATTTCGACACAAAATTGGACGGTTTTAGAAATACTATATTTTTCCTATTTCGATTTTACGATTCAAATAATTATGCCTAAGTATTAAATTTTGTAAAATTTGCTGATAAACTTACCAAGAAATTTAAAAATTTTACTTGGCGCACTTTTCTTAGCTTTCGCCAAGAATAATTCACTTGGCGAAATTCGTAATTTATAGTAACCTATTTTCATTTCCGATAAATTTCATAAAGAAAGATAACTCCACACTTGGTGTTATTATCGCTTATAACAAATAGACCACATTTCAAAATGTGCCAATATATAAAATCTTGAGAAATTTTGAATGAAAAACTCTGATGTATTGTAGATATGCTTAGAACTATATCTACTTTAAGATGATGGCCAAACTTAAATTTAAAATTTTTTTCGAAAATTTATAAAAATTACTAAAAAGTACAAATTTAAAAAACAAATCAGAAAATAGCTGCGAAACTTATTTGGATTGAACCTAGATTTCGAACTGTGAAAAAAGGAATCAAGTTTAATTTAAAAAAAAACAGATATATATATTGATAAATATATACCAAATTGAATTAACATCGAAGAGCTAAAATTTCAAAAGCTAATTTCTTAAAATCTACTCGTTCGACATTTACAAAACTTGGGACTTTGGCATAATTTGAGTCATAGAAGGGAAAAAATTAAGTATGCTATTTCAGAAAAAGTCCGATTTTGTGTCAGAATACCTACATCAGAACAATGCTATATATATAAATCTAATATATATCTTAAGTCGCGCTTTCGAAACATGAAAAACCGAAAGTTAAATTTAGTCAATCGTTCCAGTAGAACGGGAGATAGATAACTGTCCCTTTTTTGGGGGGGGGTGAAAGTGTTACTCAGAGTACATGTATTGACCCACCTCTTAATCTACTCAAAGAAAACAGAAGTACGTACCTAGAAACGCGAGGTGGTCACTTTCACTAGGACTTGTTGAAATTGAACACTGTTAATTTGGATAATGTAAAGAAATATGACATGGGACTACATTTGAGTGCTAATATATGAAGACGATTTGTATTCTCCACTCATTCTAAAAACTTTAGTGATAACATTTACTCAAGAATTCGTATTTATGTTAGCTGACTATAATTATTTTAAATACATAGCACAGTCGATTGAATACTCTATTTTTGATTTCACGTTTTTGAAACAGAAGGAGCGCTAAATTGGGCGAAAAATTAGTGCCTTGTCTTGCATAGTTGCATTGTTATAGTGTAACACTTTCGTAATATGTTTGAAGAGAGAAAGAGCAACAGCAGTTTGCAAGTCATCACAATAGAGAAGCCGAGGAAACACACGAAGCGTCCAATACGGAGCTAATGGTTAAGAATTTTTTTTGCCTTCGGCTCGAATTCATTATGACTGGTTGCCAAAGATTTCAGATCGCAAATTTTAACATTCAGGCAAGCAGATGCTTTAATGAGGGCATTTTATATTTATGAAAGCTATGTTGAGCTTTCAACCTAATTAGGCTTTTTTAGACCCATGTCTTCTGTTTTTCAGTGATGAACCTCTAATAACGGCTTAAAATTCAATTTTATGAATAACAGTTCAAACACCACCAGAGAACTGACCATTTGCACGTGGAATGCCAATGGATTAACATCGAAAATTCACGAAGTTCGTGATTTTGTAGTAGAGCACGATATTGACGTGTTTTTAGTCCAAGAGACTCACCTTACCCCAGGGAATACTCCCAAAATTGGGAATTATGACATTTATTGTACTGACAGGGTGTCACAGGGCAGAAATCCCTGTGGTGGCACTTGTATCTATGTGAAGCGTTCGTTAAAGCACCACATGATACCGTCCCCTGATTTAAATTTTTTGGAAGCGACAATCATCAAAATTTTCCTTCAAAATTCCTCCCCGCTGACAATAGTCTCAGCTTATCTACCTCCACTGTCTAGAGCACGTGGAAGGCCAGCTTTTCCTGTCAGTGATTTTGATAAACTTTTGAATATTTCAAATCACCTAATAATTGCTTTGGTGATCTAAATTCACGCCATACCGC